TAATTTATTATTTCAATCTCCATCAACCTATGTAAAAAATAAGCTTGATTAGAAAAATAATCACGAAGTATATTTCTGAAATGATTCATTTCAAGAACAGAAATTAAGAGGTATTTTGAAACACACAATGAAATATAATAAAACTGAGTAAATTATTGGCAAGACTAATCTTTCATTAAAACCATTTAAAAATTGGCTCAAACTCAGGATGGAATTTTCCTAAGGAATAAAACAGAACTAAGTTTTCAGATAGAATAAGTAAGCTACCAGAGCTAAGTAGCATTACTCAAAAGCTTCAATACATCCACTTGACTGTCTATCCATCTTGTTTGAGCTACATCCTAAAAAACATCCATCAAGAAGTGTGATTCTTTCTTAGTACATGACTTTAATTCATGTTTACAAATTCAGAAATCTAAAACGGGGTTTCTATTTCTAGGAATAGTCATTTATTTACTTTAGAAACTTACCACTAAAAATTTAGATGATAAACATTATTTCTACAAGTTTTAACAGTATTATTCAAGGTAATAAGTACTGAGTCAAAATGTTGGTATTTCTTAGCTGATATTTGTTGTGTGTTCCATTGAGTCAATCCCGACTCACAGTGATCCAGTAAGACCGAGCAGAACTGTGTTCATAGGGTCTCCTAGTCTGTAATCTTTATAGGAGCTAATCGCCAGGTCTGTCTTCCTGCAGAGAGGCTGGTGGGTTTGAAATGCTGACCTTTTATAGTTAGCAGCCCAGCACTGAACACATCGTCTCACTAAGGATCCTTAATGAATACATACTAACATATAATTAATATAGAGAATATAGATGTACCTCTGATAAGAAAAGAAGATAATTTGATACATATATTTCATTCAGAAACAAATCTTTGAACAGAAACTACCTTGAGAAGACATTCAGCTCCAAAGATTTCAAAAATATTTTTAATACAATTCTACTACATACTAAAAAATAAAAGGAAAAAAAAGTTCCCTTAAAAGTTCATTAACAATATATTTCAATGATTTCAAAATATTTTCTACCTAGAATAAGTATGAAATTATCGTTAACCTAAATGTTTTTAAACTCACAAAAATCATATAGCACTGCAGGAATTTAAAAGCGGGTGTTTGTGAAAGTGCAAACATGAGGTGGGTCAGGAGTTCAGGAAGACACAAACTCAGGCTGGTGCCGAAGGAGTCCACAAATACCAGAGAAGGCTCTTCCATGGCTCCAATTTACCATTTTACATGAGAATGTGGACCCTAAGAGAAGACCTTTTAACACCCCACAATCTTCTTCTGCTACACTGAGTCTCTTAAGGTAGAAACATGTTATAGGATATGCCAGTCATTGACTATAATATGATATATAGGATAATATCACTTTGAACCACAAGGTCAGTGGTTCAAGGTAATGAGCTGCTCCTTGGAAACCCTATACAGGGTCACTGTGAGTCGGAACCGACTCGACAGCACTTAACAATAATGTATACATATACTTCTTTAACCCAGATACCACTGAGTTGATTCCCATTCATGGTGATCCACATATAACAATTGCTTACTGACTCATTTTCAACATTAGAGTCTTTTTTTCCTCAAAGATAACAAGCTGTCCAACACTGTCTCACACACTCTTGAAAGAGTTGCTTAGAGGTAGGGGTCTGTGGCACATCAGAAAAATATGAATTGAGAGTTTATGTCCCACAGATTCAAGCATCCTGAGAATTTAGAAGTGGTTTCCATTTTTCTGAAGGTCTCGGGGTGTTGTTTGATAATCTAATTAAGCAAAATTGCCACCAGGGAACAATCACTAGTTGGACAATCATATGACATCTGAAGATACTGGACTCCACTGTTGATTGAATTTTCCTTCTCTGACCATCAATGGAAGGCTAGAGTATATGTGGATTTTTTTTTTTTAAACCTCATTATATAATTCATCTTATGATTTTTATTTTACTTAGCCATGCCAACAAGAGAAAAATAAAACAGGACAATTTTGCAACAGCTGTTTCTCCTATTTAAAGTATACAATCTCCTTTCTATATTTAAAGTCCCAAAGGACCGACTTAATAAGTGAAAATATATTTAAAGTAATATGAAAAATATTATGTAATAAAGATCTGGTTCCAGAGTCCTGGTGTGGTGCTGTAGGATCAGCACTAGACAACTAACCACAAGGTTGGTAGTTCAACCTAAGGGAGCAGCAGTTCCAAGCCACTCCTTGGAAACCCTATACAGAGTCCCTGTGTCAAAACTGACTCAATGACACTTAACAACAACAATCTTCATTAGAAAACCAAAAAATGATTTCCCACATTTGCATTTTTGTTCACCACTTAAATTACTGCTTTCTCTGACTTTACCTACGTAAAGAATAATAAATTTTGAATAATGATCTGCAGCCAAAAGACATTTTTGTATTGATTCTATTCCACTGAAAGTTTTTTGATTAATTAAAATTGCTCTCTGAACCAAATCATGCTCATTGAATTTTTAAAAGTAATTCATTTTTTAAAGTAATTCCAATATCAGTCACATTACTCAGTAAAATGAAAAACCCCCATACATTTTTCTTTGTTCCTGTGCATTGAATATTGAGAAAATATACTTCTCTTAAGTAGTTTATCTCGAGTTGGCTTGAGAGAAAGGGATCCAAATGTAAAATAGCACCTCAAAAGTGAACTGGTCACTGCTATAGAGCTAATCCTGGGGTGACCCTGTACTTGATAAGCACTGGCCCATAAGACCAGTTTGAAATGCAAGCGCATCAAACTTACCATGACTCCTCGGAAACCCTATACAGGATCACAATGGGTTGCAACCCACACGAGTGCACATTACAACCAATGTTGACTGTTGCTTATAGAGTCAGTTAGGTGCCCTGGAGGCACAGGGATTATTCTCAGCTACTGAGAGGTTAGTGGTTTGAACCCACTAGCTGCTTCACTGGAGAAACAGGTGGCCATCTGCTTCTATCACCATTTAGTCTGCTCCTGTAAAGGCAATTCTATTCTGTACTATAGGGCAGAGATGAGCCTGAATCAACAGGATGTCAATGGAGTCTCATGTGGATTGGAATCCCTGGGTGGTGCGAATGGCTAATGGGCTCTGCTGCTAACAGAAAAATTGGAGGTTCAAGTCTATCTAGAAGCTCGTTTGAAGAGAGGTCTGGTGCTCTACTTCTGAAATATCAGTCACTGAAAATCCTACTGCACACAACTCTCCTCTGAGACCTGTGGGAGTGCTCCACATGAGACTTAATCTGCTTAAATTCAACCTACATTAAACACAGTTGTTTTTACATGTGAAACAGTTGCTTGTGTGTCACACTCGTCGTTAAGTGTGATCAAGCTGCTTGCAACTCATGGTGGTGGTGGTGGCTGTGTGCCGTGGAGTCGGTTCCAACTCATAGCAACCCTGTACAGGGTTTCCCAGGCTGGAAATCTTTATGGGAGCAGAAAGCCTCATCTTTCTCCCATGGAACACCTGGTAGTTTCGAACTGCTGCCTTTGAGGTTCACAGCCCGATTTATAACCAGAGCTCCAACTCACAGCAATCTTATACATGGTTTCTGAGGAGTGGCTGCTGGATTTGAACCACCAACCTTGCAATTAGTAGCCCAGTGCTAATCTTACAGTCCCACATCAGTATTCTTACTGTACTTAGAGCTCTTTTTTGTAGTCTAACTAGGTTCTTAGTCATATGAAGAATAAAACAACAGAAATAAGAAATTGATTTTTCTACTCAAAGAACTATATGCACACATATACTAAATTTTGTCCCTTTAACGAGTCCTTGGATCCTGACCTGACTTTTTTTTCTTTTTAATAGGAGGTAGGGGGGGAGAGAGGATTGAGTAATGTTAGATTTACAGAAAAGCTGTAGAGATAGTATCTAGAGATCCTTGTGTACTTTTTGCCCAGGTTCCCCTAACGCTAGCATCCAACATAATCATGGCACATCAAAACTATGAAATTAACTTGAAACAATACTATCAATTGAAAGCAGACTTTATTCTGATTTCACCAGTTTTTCCTTTCATAGCTTTTTCTGGATTGGGATTCAATCCAGGATACCATGGTGAATTTAGCAGCCTTACCTTTTGCTCCATTTCTTCACCCCCATCCTGATAATCTTCACACACTGGGCTGGAGCTGGTGGAGAAGGTGGGCCCCTGGGAGTAGTACTGAGAACTTCGGTAGCCATCCCGTCGTAGTTCATCACATTCTGCAGAGAGCACAAGCAGGAGGAGAGAAGGTATGAAAAACTAGGACCTGTTCTCACCTCTCCTATTAATGGAGCCCTGCTGTGTTGCTACAGGTTAATGTGCTGGACTGCAAGGTCAATTTGAACTGCAAAGTTGGCGGATCAAGTTCACCAGGCACTCCTTGGAAACCCTATATAGGGTTGCTATGAGTCAGCACTTAACAAACAACAACTTCTATTAACCATTCCTAGCACAAGTGGTAAAATGCTCAGGTAGTAGCTGAAGGCTGGCAAGTTCAAACCTGCCCAGAAGAGCCTGGGAAGACAGAAACCTGGTGATCTGCTTCTAAAGGTTGAAAGCCCTAGGGAGTGGTTATACTCTGCATATTAGGTTGCCATTCTGTTGTTGTTAAGGGTCTTGGAGTCAGTTCCAACCCATAGTGGGGAATGTCTGGCCGATGGGCCATTTGGTCTGCCCTGCCACAGTAATTACAGTTCCAGCCATCACTTTAGGGGTGACTTAATGAAATGTCTGACGAAATATAGCAGGCTAATTTTTAAGTGGATAGTTTTTATATGACCCACGAATGATGTTATAAATATCCAAGTGGGCTTTGGCAGGAAAAAAAAGGTTCCCTACCCCTGCTGTATAATTTCTGAGGCTTTAAATCTTCATGGAAGCACAAAGTCTCATCTTTCTTCCATGCAGTGGCTAGCGGGCTTGAACCTTGAACCATGGGGTTTACGGTCCAGGACTTCTCCTATGGAGCCAGCCAATGCAACTGATGCACACGTACCACCCATCTGTTAGTGGAGGCTGGCATCTTGCTAAGAAGCTGAGCAGGCTGCAGCAAAGCTTCTAGAATAAGATGAACTAGGAGGAAAAGCCAATGAAAACTCTTTTAATTGGTCTCTGTTTGGTACAGTCTGTGGGGATTACCATGAGTTAGGGATCAAACTGATGGCAGGTAAAAACCACCTCACCACTTTACATTGTAGTTGTTGTTGTTGTGTGCCATCGAGTTTACATACTTGTTATATATACTTAAAGTGAATTAGCTTCTTTAGACCTCACAGTAACCGTAGGAGGCAGATACTGTCTTAAATGCCACTTGACACACAGGGAAACTACAGTTTAGGGTAATTAAATGACTCACTCTGAAGTGTATGCAAATAAAACAGTGGACTTAGAATTTGAAGGAAGAGTCTGAATTAATAAACCCCAAATTTGGACATAAGAAGCCATTCTTTATGTAATTCCACGTAAAAAGTACCAGCGATTTCCAGGCTATGCCTGTTTCCAAGACTCACTGGATGGAAGAGGCAAGAGCCATCATTGAGTATAATTTCCTTGTTTTATTTTTAGTTCTCACTTTGACTTTGATGCCTAGCCGCCTGTAAACACTGTGGAATTTAATAGGAAGCTAGGGTGAAGTCTGAGGAGTCTGCCAGCCCCATGGAGCAATGTTTGGCACCAGGGAGTGGAAGGGGCATGCTGCTTGGGACCACAGGAGATGGAGCTCTCAGGCTGCTGGAAGACTAGCAGTTCTCTTCACGGGGAAGCCATTACCCTGATTACTCTCATTACTGGGTCAAATGCTGATTAAAAAAAAAAACCAAAAAAGTTCTAATGGCTTTTAAAAACACACCAGAAGCTTTCCTATTATACAGACATCATGTACCCTAGAGGAACATTTGCTTCCCAAAAGGATTCGCCACAGGGTTTCTTTAAATACCCAGTTCTCAAAAGGAGTCCAGGGAAAGTAAATAAAGGAGTGTAGGATGTGTTTCGAGTTTGTAAAAGTTTTCTTTTTGCACAACTTTATAAAATTACAAAGCTAAAAGCACAGATGGCGTCCTGGTAGCACAATGGCTAAGCGCTTGGCTGATAGCCAAAAGGATCAAGATTCAAACCAACCCAGCTGGCAATGTGCTTCCATAAAGAGTGTTGTTGCTGCTGTTAAGTGCATTCAGTGGGTTCGAACTCACAATGACCCTGTATAGGGTTTCTGAGGAGGGGCTGGTGAGTTTGAACCACCAGCCTTGTGGTTCAAACCGACCTTGCAGTCCACTGCATTAACCCACAGTGCCACACCAGGAAACCCCATGAGGTAGTCAAATGGTGTCACCATTTCACTATGAGTTGAAATGGACTCAATGGGATGGCACTTAACAACAAAGGCACACAGCTAAACAAGAGCATCTTTTGAGTTCTTTCTAACACTAGAATCTATGCTGGGTCCTCTAAGATGACACAAGCAGTCACTTCAGTTGATAGATATCAATTCTCCAATCAAGGGATGGAAAATTGTCCTTTGCTAGTGGAAAAGATGGAAGATTCCAATCCAGAATTACAAGTCACATTAAAATAAAACCCCATGGATATAAAGTCATGGGGATCTATTAGAAAGTCAAACTAACTAAAAAATGAATTCATTATCATTGTTGTTGTTGTTAAGGGCCATGGAGTAGGTCCTGACTCATACTGAGGCTGTGTTGGGTTTCCAAGGAGCATCTTGTGGGTTTGAACTGCTGAATTTGTGGTCTACAGTCCAGTGCTTATCTTTACCAAGAATTATAAATTAGTCAAATATTACTACTTCAGTCACCTACAAACCGAAAACCAAACTCACTGCCATCGAGTCAATTTGGACTCATAGCAATCCACTATAGGGTTCCAAAGCTGTGAATGTGCTGTAGGATTAGCACTGGACTGCAAACCACAAGGTCAAACCTTCCAGCTGCTCCTTGGAAACCTTATACAAGGTAGTTATGTGTCAGAAATGACTCAGTGGCAGTTAACAACAACAACGACACAAACCTTAGGCTAAATAGTTTCTGGGCAGGTCTGGTTACCATTCAACTGGTAACAATAATTGATATAGACAAGGTCATTTAATTTCTGAAACACTCAAAACACACCTTTCTTCTTTTTGCAGATTGCAACGGGAACTATTTTCAGATTTTCTCCATTTGACAATTTCTCTAAATTAACAGCACAATCAGAATCTATACTCTCACTCTATAGAAATAATGCTAATTAAGTGTGGTTATTAGTTATCAGGGATTCTGCAACTATTTGACTTAATTTTCTTTAAATAATGAACTTTAATACCAGGATTCCACCACTTGTCTGTCAGTTTGTCTTACTGTGGTGGCTTCTGTGTTGCTGTGATTCTGGAAGCTATATCATGAGTACTTTAAATACCAACAGGGTAACCCACAGTGGATAGGTTTCAGCTGAGCTTCCAGACTAAGCGAGAGTAGGAAGAAGGAGAGACAGACTAATTCCAAATATTTAGTCCCTGAGAATCTAAAGAAAGGCAGTGGAATACTGTCAGCACCAGAGGTTCCAGCCGGTTTCAAAAGAGGACATGGATTGAGAGATATCATTGCTGGTATCAGATGGATCTTGGCTGAAAGCAGACAATACCAGAAAGATGTTAACCTATGCTTTATGGACTATGCAAAGGCTTCTGATTGTGTGAATTATGACAAGCAATGAACAACATCATGGAGAATGAGTATTCTAGAACACTTAATTGTGCTCTTGAGAAACCTGTACAGAGATCAAGAAGCAGCTGTTTGAACAGAACAAGGGAATACCAAATGATTTAAAATTAGGTAAGGTGTGCACCAGGGTTGTATTCTTTCAGTATACTTATTCAATCTGTAAACTGAGCAAATAATCTAAGAAGCTCAATTTTATGAGGAAAAACATGGCAACAGCATTGTAGGAAGACTCATAAAAAACCTGTGACATGCAGATGATACAACCTTGCTTGCTGAAAGTGAAGAGGACTTAAAATACTTACTGATGAAGATCAAATACCACAGCATTCACTATGAGTTGCACCTCATTGTAAACAAAAATCCTCAACACTGGACCAATAAACAACATCCATTTAAATGGAGAAAAGATTGAAGGTGTCAAAGCCTTCACTTTGCTTGGATCAACCATCAACACTCATGGATGCAGCAGTCACGAAATCAAATGACATATTGCATTAGGCAAATCTGCTGCACAAGACCTTTTTAAAGTGTTGAAGAGCAAAGATGTCAGCTTGAGGACTAAGGTGGGCCTGATCCAAGCAAGGTATTTTCAATAACCTCATATGCATGTGAAATTTGGACAGTGAATAAGGTAGACTGTAGAAGAATTGATGCATTTGAATTATGGTGTTGGAGGAAAAATTTTAAAGTACCATGTCCCCTTCGATGGTGTAAATTATTATATATATGCCTGAGTGTTTTTAAAAAAAAGCTAAAATGAATAGAAATACTGATGGTACATAGAGGGGATTATAACCATTGTAATGATACAAAGTATATGATTTGTTGAATGTGAAACTGATGATCTGCCCTGTAAACAAACTTTCACTCAATTCACAATAAAAACTTAAAAAAAAAAAAAAAGTACCATGGACTGCCAAAAGAACAAAACAATCTGTGTTAGAAGAAGTACATCCAGAATGTTCCTTGGAAGCCAGGATGGCCTGACTTCACCTCTCATTCTTTGGACATGTTATCAGGAGGGACCAGACCCTGGAGAAGGAGATTGTGTTGGTAAATGGAGTGTTAGAGAACAAGTGGAAGACTCCTAACGAGATGTACTAGCACTGTGGCAGCAGCAATGGGCTCAGACTTAGAACTATTGTGAGACTGGCATGGCATGGGCAGTGTTTTGTTCTGTTGTCCACAGGGCCACTATGAGTCAGTGTCGACTTGATGACACTAACAACAAGATGAGTTGGAACAACAACAATTAACACTGGGGATTAGGATAAGCACTAGACTTTTAACCTCAACGTTGGTGGTTCAAACCCACCCACCACTCTTTGGAAACGCTATACAGGGCCTCTGTGAGTTGGAACCGACTCAACAGCACTTAACAACAACAACAATGAACTTGAATGGAATCCTGGTATGACACTGTAGGACAAACCCTGGACTGCTAACTGCAAGACTGGTGGTTCAAACCAATCAACGGCTCCTCAGGAACTCCAAACAGGGTAGCGGTG